CTAGTAAAAGCAGTTAAATACATATGAGATGTGTTTGGTTATAGCAGGTTTTTACTGCCAGCTAGTGGAAGCTCTCTTTGCTTCTTCTTTTTAATTGCTCTTGTGAACACATCAGAGCTGTTAATGTTGAAAACAATAGCATCCCACTGTGGGAAAAATTTTGCTGCCCCTTTGTTCATTGAAAATGCCTAGGTTTGTAGAATTTTCACACGTTATACCTTATATTCACATTATTCACATTATACTATATATATATATATATATATATATATTGCATTAGAGTCACACATACAGATTGGCCCTCATTCTTTCCTTCCCTCTTCCCCATCTAGTCCATGTTAATGAGACGGCACTATGTGCACGTGAAGGACAAAGCATTTCTCTAAAACATGGCCAGATATCTTCACCTTGGTACACATTTAAAGGAGAGCAGGAGGCGAGATAAAGCCAAGGAGTTAAGGAAAATATTCCCGACATAGGAATTAAAATAATAACATGGTGATAGTGAAGTTTGCCCAATATCATTTCTCCTCCTTCTATTGGAATTCAGAGAAGAGCCAATACTCACTCATCAAAGCAATGGGCAGCTGTTATGACCCACTGATTCCCAATGACTGAGCCTCCACACACATGACTCTGTGTCTTCAGTTTGACTTGTAAGGAGGCTTGCCATGGCCACTCTCGTGGGGAAGATCTAGTGCCTCCAACAATCCTTGTAGTTACTGTCTTTGTGCAGACTACAAAGAATCATAATGGTCATGAGGGGTGACATACACGTAACATTTACATAGACTGGAAAGTCATGAAGCATTTTATCTACATCATCTCGTCTGAGACTGACAACATGAGACAAGTCTAACCATTGCTATTTTATAGGTGAGGAAAACTGAGGCTTAGAGAAATGGAGTGACTTGCCCAAGGTCACACAACTAGGAACTTGGATTTGGATTCTGGTCTTCTGATGGTGAGAAGTGCTGGAGGCAGTGTCTAGAATTAAGCAGTAAATCAGAGAACCTTCACTCTCAAAAGACAGGGATTCATTGAATTATAATGTTACAAGGTATCTGATTACACTTAGATAGAAAAATAAGGACTTTACTTACCACAGATGCTTGGCGTTTTACACATTCTTAAAGTACAACCAGAGGTACCTTCTGTCCCATAGACTATTCTAGTTGGAGAACCATTCGAAGATATTTTAAAGGAACATTTACACCTACAAAGATAAATAGAAAAGGAAGGAAGGAAGAAGAAAGAGAGAAAGAGAGAGAGAGAGACAGAGAGAGAGAGAGAGAGAGAAGGAAGGAAGGAAGGAAGGAAAGAAAGAAAAAAAAAAAGAAAAAAAAAAGAAAAAGAAAGAAAAGAAAGAAGAAAGAAAGAAGAAGAAAGAGAAAAAGAAAGAAAGAAAGAAAAAAAAAGAAAGAAAGAAAGAAAGAAAGAGAAATGAAGGAAGGAAAGAGAAAAAAGAAAAGAAGAAGAAAATGTGAGGTTTTTAAAGATATTGTCTTTGTAGAAGTGGCAAATATGTTCAAGAATTTTGTTAGCTAGTACCTGTCTTCCTTGCATTCTCCTTGGTGGGATGTATATGTGAAAAACTGACAGCGGATTTTGTTTGTACAGTTTTCTTGACAAGCCTTAATTCCTTTAACATAGACAGCTTCCAACTCATCCCCTTCAAAGTCCACACCAACATACCTTTGGGAATGGCATCATTCTGTACTGGTCACAGACATGAAAGATGGAAAATGCACACACAAATAATAATAGCAGCTAGCACTTACAGAGCACTTGTTTTACAAATATCTTATTTTGTCCTGACAACAACTCTGGAAGGTAAGATGCTATTATCATCCTAATTTTTACAAATGAGGAAACTGAGGCAGAGAATAATTAAATGACTTGCTCAGGGTCACACAGCTAATAAGAGAGTGAAGCAAGATTTGAACTCAGGTCTTCCTGATTCCAGGCCCAGCACTCTATGCCCTGTACCACCTAGCTGTCTAAATATACAGGTATGGATTTGGTTTCATCCTATTATTATTGCTTCTCTCTCTCTCTCTCTCTCTCTCTCTCTCTCTCTCTCTCTCTCTCTCTCTCTCTCCCTCTGTGATTTCATTGATATAAGGAACTCTCAATGAGGAACTCACTCTAACCAATGTAGATCAGCACTAGCTTAGGTAACTTGCCCAGTGCCACCTGGCCAGTATATATATCAGAGCCAGAACTTGAACTCAGGTCTTCCTGATTCGAAGCCACCTCTCTATCCACTCAGTCATGTTGTTTTTTCTCTAAAGCATTATCCAGTTACTAGCTATATGACCAAGGTCAAATCATTTCATCTCTCTGAGTTTTAGTCTCCCCAGATGCAAAACAGAATATTAATATCTGTAGCAGGGAGTGAGTAGAACCAGGAAGAACTGAGTTTGAATCCTTCCTGAGACACTCAAACGTTGTATGACCCTGGGCAAGGCTGTCATCATCTCCATACCTCAATTCCTCATTTATAAAATGAAAAGTTTGGACTGGACAACCTCTAAGACCTTTCCTTACTTTAAACACCTGATCCTACAAGCTGAAGGCTTCCTATCTACACATTCAGCACCCCATTTCACTCTACCACAATGCTGGAATAGCCTTGGCAATCTTATCCAATCTTTTTAAAATTTATTTTTTTTTAATTTATGGAATGAAACAAACATTTTTATAACATAGTATTAAAAAAAAGATTATTATGCATGAAAACACAAATCTATTATGTACAATGTGCTATTCCTTTTAAATATATAATAAATTATCATGTTAATTTCTTTTTTTTCTTTTTTTTCTTCCCTCCCCCCTCACCCCACCCTAGATATGGTTACCATTAGACACAACTGTGGTGGCAAAGAACTAGAAATTGCAGGGATGTCCACCAATTGGGGAATGGCTGAATAAGTTGTAGTATATGATTGTGATGGAATACTACTATGCTAAGAAATGATGAGCTCAATGATCTTAGAAAAACATAGACTTGCATGAAGTAATGAAGAGTTAAATGAGCAAAACCAAGAGAATACTGTATACAGTAATAGCAATATTGTTTTAAGAAAGACTTTGAGAGACTAAGTCATTTTGACTATTATAAATACACAAATTAAAAATGGGACATATGAAGAAAGATATGATTTGAATCCAGAGAGAACTGATAAGTATATAGAATAAGGAATCCTCTCCAATCTAACCCCTTCATCTTACTGATGCTCTTCAATTACTACTTGTTATTGTACCACATTACCAGGCAAATCTTTGCAGCTTAGAAGACTATATCCTGAGGTGGTGTTGACCTGTGGTATTTCAGAGCTTGGTTTTCCACTCTTTGATGTCTTAAGAAAACACATATTTCTAAAAGCAAATTAAAAAGAACATGAGAAACACTAGGTAAGTAGGGAAAGCATTTAAAATTGAACTCTCCTTCAGGAACAGAGGGATCATTATTCTTTCTTTTTAAAAAAAAATCATGACTGGAGGTACTTTAGTAACTGGAATTTTGTAATATTGACAGAAGATAAGTAGACTTTGACCTTGATTTCACATAAAGGCTTTGCTGAGGTAACTGGGGTTGGAAGAAGAGAAATCAGGGACTCTGGTTGCAGGAATACTGACCTCTTATCCTAACTAAGCCTCAAACCCACTCTCCTGCTCAAAGTATTATTGTACATGACTAATGTGGAAATATGTTTAATATGATTATACACATATAGCCTGTATCAGAATGCATTCCGTCTTGGGGGAAGGGAAGGGAAGGGAAGGAGGGTGGAAATTTTTAGAACTCAAAATCTTATAAAAGTGAATTTGAAAACTAAAAATACATAATCAGTTTTTAAAAAGCATATTGTTGTAGAAAGTTTTTGATCCAAATCTGTGATTTCATTAGAGTAGGGAACCCAAGGTGTATTGGAAATTTGTCTGCAATTTGTAGTCTTGAAAAAAAAATGTTGCCTGGGGCATTGAAAAGCTGTCTTACCCAGGAACACACAACCAATAATTGATTGTGTGTCCCTGGCATAAAGCCATATAAGATTTTCCTAACTATAAGGCCAGTCATCTATTCATAGCACTATTGGCTGATTTTGAAAAAGTCTAAGCCTCTAAATGTGAGAATTATAAAATTTGTTACAAAATGACAGCCAAAATCCCACATACCTTTGTGGCTGTATATGCCATGTGTTTGTAAAGAATGTAAAAAATAAGCAATTTGGATAATAGGAGCAAATAGTGCGGCATACAAAAGGATCCGGAGCAATCACTCTGCCAACATCTTCGCCAGAAAATGACATATGTTGAAAAATATTCATTTGGCAACCTGTAAAGGCACAAAATTCATTTATTACTCAGAATTCCACATGCTGTTTCGGTATCAGGAAGAGACAATCTTCTCCGCTTCTATCCTAAACCTTCAAACCCCATCCCCAACCTTTCCTCTCTACCAGACTCTGATCTCCATCTCTGCTGGAGGAACTCAGTATCTCACCTGACCCTTTCCAGTAGTGGGGGTCAGTCTGACCCTTCCCAGTAGTGGGAGTCAGTGCCCTCCCGGCTCTCCACCCTGCAGATACGACTCTCTGCTGCTGGGCCTTGATATTCCTTTAGGACCTTTGAGCCTTCCCATCACCCTGCTGATATGCCCTCTGTTGTGTCTTCCAAGTAAAGCATCAATTCTTTTAGATTGAATGTCTTCTTTTTCTCTTTACATACCCAGACTAACATTTGGACTAACATTTGGAACATTCTGAACACTTAATAAATGTTTTTTAATTCACTACTATGACACAAATTATATTGGATTAAGATCTGGGTGTACTATTAATCAAAACATTAAGATGTAAGTCCACTGCTCCTTTGAAGCTCAATTCAGAGATTGGGCTGGAAGTGATGGTAAGTGTCTGTAATTCCCACTCCTGGGGATGCTGAGATTGGCAGATCTCTTGACCTCAGAAGTTCTGAACTACAGTGGACTATGCAGATGGGTATCCACATTATGTTTGAAAAACGTTAATAACTGAGTCCCTGAGAGCAGGGAGGCCTCCAGGTTGCACAGGGAGGAGGAAACTGGCCCAGGCTGGAAGCAGAGCAGTTCAAAGGCTTTGTGCTAATCAGAAGTGGGATAGGGCCATGGGTAGCTCCTCACTTCTAGCTTGAGCAAGATGGAGAGATCAGTCTTTAAAAAAAATATCAGGTCTAGAGTTAGAAGAGACTAAAGGGGCCTTGAAGTCCAAGTCTCTCATTTTACAGATAAGGAAACTAAGGGCTAGATCAGTGAAAGGACTTGTTCAATGTCCTACAGATAGTAGCATCAGAAGGAAGGACAGATTTAAACCCAAGTTGGCTGCAACCCAAAACATTTCTTTGTATTTGTTACATCATTTGAAAGAAGACAGAGTCATTCATGTTTGTGAAGTTAGCAAATTCTTAAATTTCTGAGTAGAAAGATTTTTCCCATGACAGTAGACTATTGATCCAAATCCTTCTAACTGCCATCATTCTCTCAATTCTATCTAAAATTTTTAAAAGTACAACTTATTCCATAGGCCATCTGTCATATACTCAGTTGTCCTTTGCATTAGTAAGACCCATAGTCTAGGTACTTGGGAATATGAACTGTTGTTTATTTTGAGCTATTTTTTCTGCAACTACCCATGATTCTTCACTGACTTCCTCCCTCAGTACCTCATCACGGTGTGAAGGGAGTCCATGGCTATTGGCAAACAGCAAAAGGCAGGAACTGCCCGTTTCTACTGACCTGGGAAGGCTTCAAGTATGGGCCATGCTATTTAAGTTCAGAGATTCTTATTAGCAGAAATTATCCATTGGGTGATAGATTTTCCAGGGAAAGCAACCCATAACCCATAACCCATATCTGCTTAGGAGGATATACAATGTACATTGCTGGAAAAAAATAACCACAATGTTGAAATCATGGGCTTTTGAAGTAGTAAATAAGTTATTAAGTACATATGTATCAAGGTGGCATGGTGAATTAAGCACTGGACTTGGAGTCAGTATGACCTGAGTTCAATTCCCTCTTCAGACACTTACTAACTGTGTGACCCTGGACAAATCACTTAACCTTTCGCAACTTCAATTTCTCTATCTGCAAATAGGGACAATAAAAAGACCTATGTCTCAAGATTTTTTGTTGGAAACAAATGAGATAACGTATGACATAAAGTGCTTTGTCAACTTTAAAATATTCTATAAATGTTAATTACTATTTCCACAGTCCCTTACAGCTGTAAAGCTCATGACTTTTAGACCTTTATGATACTAGCAAAGAGAAGTATAAGATAAATACCAAAGAATTTATAGAGTCTGAAATAAGTAAATTTAGATTAGATCAGCAGAAAGTTCAGTGATTATCACTTTTATTAAACTTGTTTGTTAATTCCATTTGTATTTCTCTCTAGTTACAAATTCTAATAACCTATACATAACTTGCAATAGTATTATGGAAGTTAAATCACTGATAACAACTTTTTCTCACCCGGGAAACAACACCAAACTGATTGTGCATAGCTTAAATGCCAGTGACTTAACCCTTCAAATCCCCAAGAGGTATACGGGCAGGCTAATTTGAGAAGATGAATGCATTTGTATTTATGGTCCCACTGCCTGGCACATAGTAGGTCTTTAATATATACTTGCTGACCAATTGATTCAACAAACATTTACTGAATGTCTTTTATGTGTAAGTCTAGTCTAGTCAACTCACAAGCTTTATTAAGTACCTACCATGCCAAGCATTGTGGCAAGTGCTGGCAAGATATCGTGTTACTACTGGTAATAGAACCTGAGCAGCACCACTGTGCCCACCTTCATGAAATTTACAAAGGAGGGGAGCTGTAACATAGGAACAAGTAATTAGAACACAGAATATGAAAAAAAAAGTTATAAAGGGGCTAAGAGACCTATGAATACAATCATGAGAGGGAAGGCTTACTTCTGAATGCAGAGATTAGAGTTAGCTGGTCCTTTTTGTCTGGGGGTAACTCCAAGCACAGGGAAACAGAAGGAAAAACACCAAGGTGAGAAATAATTAAAGAAATAGGAACTGTCTAATTTGGCTAGCGATAGAGCATCTGCAGTGGAATAATGAGAGACACAACTAGAAAGCTAAGGTGATCATCAAAAGAATAATCTTTTATTTGTAGCCTAGAGAGTTTTTACTTTACTCTGTAGGCAATATGGAGCTATCTAAGGTTTTTGAAGAGGGAAATGATATGGTAGGAAGTAGATTCTCTTCCATCTCAAAGACCTGTAACTTCTTGGCTCTAGTAAAACATCAATCTGTGGAGTGGGAGTGGGAGAGAGACTGGGAGTGGAAAGGCAAGGAAATCAAAGAGAAAACTCTTATACTAGTTCACTCAAGAGGTTATAATGGTTTGAATTAGGATAGTGGTGGTGGGAGTGGAAAGGCAGGGACTAACACAAGAGATTGTGTAGAACATAGAAAGGACAATAGTGCTTGCGTGTGGGGAACAATGGAGAAGGAGCCATCAGATATGAAATTTTAAGCCTGTGTGACTTGGCATATCAGTTTCAATCACAGATACATGGAAATCTGGAAGTGTAGACCATTTTAGGTGGTAAGATGATGAGTTTAGTTTGGGAAATGCTGAATTTAAAGCACCAGCAGGTTAAGACCTAAGTCCTCCTTCCCTCTTTAATGTCTTGGAATATGGCTCCTATCAGAAGATCATAGATTTTGAGTTGAAAGGACCTCCAACTCAATGGACTAATTTTACAGAGGAAACCTTGTCCAGAGTCTAGAGTGAACTGTTTGAGACACAATTCAAACCCAGTTCTTCCTGACTTCAAGTCTAACACTCTCTCTACTATCTCTATGAACACATTAAGACTAATTTTTTCAAATATCATTAATACCTTCCTAATTGTCGACCGTTTGATGACCTTTTTTTAGTTCCGATATTACTTGAGATTTCTGTATCATGTAATACTGTTGATCACTTCATCTGTCTTGAGATGCTCTCTTATCTTCTGGATTTTCTGAAAGAGCCATACCTAGAGTTTTTGCTGGAATAGGCAGAAACAACAGAGGAGGTGAATACCAGTGGCCACACTGAGCTTTGAAGATTTTAGCAGAGAGGGGTGTAAGGGAGGTTTGGAGAGAAAGATAATTGAGTTAGCTTTGGGCATGTTGAGTTGAAGATGCTATGGGATTTACAGTTTGAGTTGTCCAAAAGGTAGTTGAAGATATAAGTCTGGAGGTTAGGAGAAATGTTAAGTAAGGGTGAATAACAGATCTAAGAATCATCAGCATAAAGACGTAATTGAACTCATGGTGCTAGTCAGATTACAGCAAGAGAAAAAAAAAAGTAAAGAGAGATAAAAGAGCAAAGTTCAAGATAAGACTTGGAGGAATACCCACAGTAAGTGGGCACGACCTGGATGAAAATCCAGAGGAGACTTGAGAAGGATCAGGTAGACAGGAGGAGGAGAACCAGGAGAGAGTATGAGGAGGAGAGGGTGATCAACAGTGTCAAAAACTGCAGAGGCAAGAAGGATGGGGTCTGAGAAAAGGCCTTTAGACCTGGCAATTAAGAGATTGTTAGTAACTTTGAAGAGACAGCAGTCTCAGTTGAAGGATGACATCAGAATGAGACACTGGAGTAACTCTTAAGTGGATGATTATGCTGATAAATTGTAAAATTTGCCTAAGATAGAAAGTTGAAGAAGGAAGCCTGTGAGTATTAGCCAATTCTTTAGATCATAAAATTTCAATGATTTTTAACCCTAACTTAAAGTCAGCCCTAGATCCTGTTTTCTCAGATATCTCTCAAAAATCTTCATTCGAATGTCTTAATTTGTTTTATGGACAGTCTTACAAACAATCAATCAATGGGCATTTTAACACCTACTATGTCAGACACTGAGTTAGAGGATACGAACACAAAAGCAAAAGATGAAGTGGAGGATGAGGTAATATAGAAGGGATGCAGAAATCCTCCCTGACAAAACTAACTTATCTATTGTCCTACCTGAAGTCTCTACCCTCTCTCAGTTCCCATCCACATGTAAGGACCCAGTGAAAACACTCCCCTTAAAGTACGAGAAGAGGAAAAGGCACCAGAAATGTCTGCAGCAGCCAGTGAAGCATCACTCTCACTAGCCTTTGGTCAGGCCATATCTCAGGACTTTTGTTCATATGTCTCTCTGCATGTTCCAACGTAACTTCTGGACTTCCACTGCTTGGATCTTAGCCCTGTGAATTTTGGGCCTCGACTTGTTTCCCTTCTCATGGTTTAGTCTCTTCTTTAAAAAAAAATAACTAATAAAAGGAGGCAGCTAGGCAACACAGTGGATTCAGGAGGACCTGAGTTCAAATCTGGCCTCAGACACATAATACTTACTAGCTGTGTGACCCTAGGCAAGTCACTTAACCCCGTTGCCTAGCCAAAAAAAAAAACAACAAAACACCCTAATAAACAAACAGCCTAGCTCCTAGGTTGAGTTGTGTTTTCTACCAGTACTAGTAAACAGACCTTCCTCCTGTCTACTATGGAAAATATAGTATACTAAATGAACAAGGTATTCTTCTTACTGACATCTACTTCCCCAGATCCTCTGACCTGTGCCCTACCCCTTCTTCTGCCTAGCATCAGCCTAGTTAACCTCTTGCATCCCAGATTCCCTTGGGGTACATCAGTATCACACCTTAAAAGCACCATGTGGTGCAAAGGAATGAGGATTGCATCTGGAGACAGAAGATATGGGTTCAAATACTGGGTGTGCTACTTACTCATCTGTGTGACCTCAGGTAAATCACTTAGCCTCTTGGAACTCAGTTTCCATAATTCGTAAAATGAGAGGATTCAACTAGATGACTTCTGGGGTCCCTTATAGCTCTAAATCTACAATGATGCTGAAAACCTATTTCATGCATTCTATTTGTCAGTAGTATCAGAATTTGTGCTAATGCATTATCACTTACTGGGGATAGGAAGTTTTGACAGTAGGTGGGAAATTGAGAGGACATTCCAGGCAATTTGGGGGCCAGAGAGGATTGTCTTGGGAAAAGAGGGATCAGTGAGAAGATATTGAATGAGGGCTGATGAAACAGGGAGACAGCCCCCTGGCCTTGCTGCAGCTTCTCTGGTTTTAATAATGTTACCATAATTAATGCTATCTATAGATACATGAATTAAAATGAGCATTCGAGATAATCCTCTCAATAATACCAGGTGAATTATCCATCCATCCCAGGAGACAGAGTTCCATTAGTCCAAGTTACAGGAATCTTTATTCTCTGCCACATTAGGCATAAGCTCTGTCCAAGTGTTCCTTGTTTTCTGCACAAGAAATCGTGTGGAATGGTGGCTATATAAGTAATTACCCATATCAGAAAGTCCACAGGGCTTCAGGGAGAATCCTGACACCAAGCCTTCCACCATCTTGATCGTATCAGGGAATCCTGACTGGCTGTGCTTCAGCAGACATGTGTTTCTGAGCAAGAAGGAAAGGAAGCTCATTGATGATTTTGCTCGGTATCTGTTCTTTGCATTCTGAATGTTGTCACAAAATGAAGTAAGCTATGTTCAGCAGTGCAATTCACACTTCCACCTGTAACATGGTTTGATTCTCCTCCCTTGGCAAATCCCCAAAGAAAATTACAATAAAGATGATCACGGCAATAACATGATCTTGGCAATAATACAATGAGAGATGAAGCATTTGGAAACCATAACATGGATGGATTCGGGGAAAGAAACAAGAAATAGATAGACTAGGAAAAGTTTTAGGGTCAGGCCCCACCTTTACACACATAGTTTCATGACATGTAAAAACTGGACTAAGCTACAATCAGAAATCACTGATACCTTTAATAGCATTACCATGCCTAGAACACTGCCTTGAACAGAGCCTGTGCCTAGCCTGAAAGAGAGAAGAAAAATCATCTTTTGTGTTTGAAAGAGTCTTTAGCTGAGACTCCAGACACCTGGGCTTGAGTCTTGGCTCTAATACATAATAGATGAGCAGTCTTAGGAAATTCACTTTACTCTGGTGCCCCTCAGTTTTTCCAAGCAGGATGTCAAGTGGGATGACACATATTTATGCTGCCCATTTCACAGGGTTGCTGTGAGAATCAATCGAGATGAAAAATATTTTGCAATGGTTATGTAGAACACAAACTCCTTGAAGGAAGGGACTTATTCTGAGTTGTCTTCATTGTTAAGTTTTCTTGTTTCCAAATCCCCCTTCATGCTGGGCCCTTCTCTCTCTTATCATCTATAATTTATGCTCTCTATATCTTGTTTGTTCATAGCTGTTTGCATAGTATTTCCTCCAATAGACTGTGAGCTTCTTGAGGACAGGGACAAGTTTTTGTGTCCCTAGCACTTAGCAGGTGCTTGTTAACTTGTCTTGTCTTGACTCTTGGGAATTTTCTATCCAATGTGGCATAGCAAACCCATCAACTAGAATAGAATTCTAAAATGGACATTCCTTGGATGATGAGAAGACTGGAATGCTTTCAGGCCCGGCAATGAACCATGCTTGACCATTTAGCTTCAACACTTATGAAAATATAAATTCCCTCTATGCCGTTGTTGACTTCACTGTCTCCCATGGGAGATCCCATCCTCATCAGGACTTAGCCCCGCCCACAAAGATAGCTGCTGTTTCAAGAATCCCAAGAAGAAAAGTGAGATTGGAATGGCCTTCATTTGGATTTGAAAAAGAGTTACTTGAGGCTTAAATTAAAATCCTTAACAGAATCTTCAAGGAAGATTGCTGCTCACCGATACTCCAATCTGTGGAACGTCTGCGTGGCATATGTGTAAAATTGGCAGAGGGCATGGTTTGTACATTGTTTTTGACATTCTTCAACAGTGTTCACCTTGGTTACATTGAAATTCACCCCTCTCATATCAAGTCCTTCATGGTTCTCCTTGCTACAAGCTGTAGAAACATAACAAACAGAACTAATGTGGTTTCCTGACTGGAATAATGTAACCCCTTTAATCAATGGCCCTGAAAGAAAGTATTTCATCTTTAACACACCATTAGGAAAATCTCTTCTTTTTCTAATTTTATTTTCAATTCATGGAACAAAACAAGCATTCCCACAATACAGCTCAATAAAAAAAGATGATTGCACATGAAACTGCATATCTACCATGTACAGCTTGCTATTCTCTTCAAACATACACAAAGTTATCACATAAATTTCTTTTTTTTCTTTTTTCCTCCCTCCTCCATGCTAGAGAGGGCTCCCACGAGACACAAATAGGCACATGTGTGTGTGTGTATGTATATGTATATTTATCTGTGTATATATATATATATATATGTATTGTATATATGTATGTGTGTGTGCATATATATGTATGTGTGTGTGTGAAATTATTCTAGCCATACTTCTATTTATCAGCTCTTTCTCTGGATGCAGATAGCGTCTTTCTACAAATTCCCTTTACTTTTAATTTGTGCATTTAAAACCTCTTCTTTTAATTGCTCCATGTAATCTATTTGTATTTGACATTTTCGTTACTAGTAAGTAATGAATCTTACTAGCTGTGTGACTCTAAGCTGGTCCCTTCTTCGTCTCTAAAATGGGGGAGGCAGCTATGGTATAGTATAAGAGAGAGCTATCAGAGTCAGGAAGATGTGGGTTTAAGTCCCAGCTCTGCCATATAGTGACTGTGTGACCAAGGTCTAAAACTGGATAAATTTCCTTAGCTAGATACCTATCCATCAGTGTTATCCCTGTGGCTTTGGAGAACATTACCATGCCTGGAACAGTGTCTCAAACATAATCTGTGCTCAATTCTAGTTAGAAATTGATTGACTTCTATATCACTAGTCACCATAGAGAATTCCTAGAGGATCCATCTACTATCTATGGGAAGTAGAAGAAAAGAAATCTAAACAAAACCACATGGTGTTTTATCCACTGGAATATAATTCCCCAAGAATACCTCCTTCTCCTCTTCTTTGCAGATATAGGAGTCTACAAGTATAAATATTAGATATGAACTCATTGATGTCAGGGATCATCTTTTGTCTTTCCTTGTATCCTCAGAACTTAGTACAATGCATTGAACATAGTAAGCTTGATAAATATTTCTTGACTGAGTTAATATTGCATGTAATACTATTTTTTGATGTGTTGATTGGTCTTGTTGACTTTTTTCCTTATTTCTAATTCTTTGTTATAAGGGATGGCAGGGATAGATCGGAAATGTACGTAACGTTATAACAAATAGTACCACAAAAATCTATTCAAAATAAAAAAAAAAATTCTCAGGGGGACTGCCTTCCACAAAGGTATGGAGGATCCATAGCCAACTGGCAAGAAAAGAAAGAGACAGAGAGACAGAAACAAAAGGACAGAGAGAAAAGAGAGAGAGAGAGAGAGAGAAAAAGAGAGAGAGAGAGAGAGAGAGAGAAGGAGGGAGGGAGGGAGGAAGAAAGGAAGGAAGAAAGGAAGGAAGGAAGGAAGGAAGGAAGGAAGGAAGGGAAGGAAGGAAGGAAGGAAGGGAGGAAGGAAGGAAGGGAGGAAGGAAGGAAGGAAAGAAAGAAAGGAAGAAAGACTAGGTAAGGCATGTTATAACTAAATTACACAAATTGAAACAAGTAAACTACAACTTACCACTTCGTTGATAAACGCATTGTTTTAAGGAATGCCCAGAAATTGCATTTTTCCTAGTCATTCTTGGAAGAGTTCCAGTAACACTGTCTTTTAAGAAGCAACCAAATCTGTGGGAAAGGAGAGCATCACTTAATGAAAATGGGTAAGTATGTGAACACATATTTTATTAATTATTATATCTACATAACTATCAACACATTTAAAACTACTAACTTACCTTTAATTAATGTGTTTTTAAAAGATTTATATTTAATTTATAGAATAAAATAACCCTTGCATAACATAATACAATAAAAAAGATGATTGCATGTGAAACTGAAAATCTACTAGGCACAACTTGCTATTCCTTTCAAATACACAACAAAATTATAATGTCCATTTCTTTTTTTTTCTTTTTTTCTTCACCCACCCCAAGATGGCTACCATTAGGCACAACTATGTGTATATGTATATATACATATATGTATATTTATATACACGTATGTAAAATTATTCTATATGTACTTTTATTTATCAGTTCTTTCTCTGGATGTAGATGACATCTTTCTTCATATGTCCTTTATAAAATACCTTGAATTTGGGTATTTTAAAACATTTTTAATGGACAGAAAATCCATTACACCTTTTCTGACACTGACCAAAAAAGAACATTTGCCAGAAAGTAACATTCTTTTCATTTTAATTCTGTTCAGTAAGCCATTGAGGTCAGAACACTTCACTAGAGGATATAACAAAGTTGAGAGAAGGCACGGTCCCTACCTTCCTGGAGCATATAGTCAAGCAGGGAGAAATAGCCTATATACAGATAACTGTAATGAACAATAACACATACTAAATACTGTTTTTCTCTTTTTTTTTCTTCTTCTTTGCATTCCCAGCACTTAGACCAATGATTGACATCTAGTCAATTAAGTACTTAAAAAATAAACATTGATCAATTACTTCTATAATTGTATATTTGTATGTTGTCTCCTCCCTTAGATTGTAAGCTCCATGAGGGCAAGGACTGTCTGTTGCCTCTTTTTCTATTCCCAGCATTTAACACAGTGCCTGGCACACGGCAGGTGCTTAACAAATGTTTATTGATCAATTGAATGATTGATTAGAGTGACACAATACAAGAGAGGTGGAACATAAGGTCTTTCCTGACTGAAGGGATGGCAAAGGCTCTGACAACTTTGCTTCAACACTTCCAAAGATATACGTGATTTCATCACTTTGGGCTTTCACTCACAGATCATGACCCATCTGGCACAGGGAAAAAGCCCTTAATTAGAGTCTAAAAGTTTAGTTTGAAATCAAGATTAATGAGGTAAACCAGATCATCTAACATAAGATCAGAGTAGACAGCAAAAGCTAAAGATTGTGAAAATTTGAATCTCAAGTGTGGTTGTGGCCCCAAAAAAGTATTACCTTGTGGTCAATTGATAAGTGACAGGCATCTCTGAGCTTAGGAGGGCTAGTTCCCAGCCTCAAACACACATTTTAGCACTGGACTAATATTCAAAGACTTTCCACATTCTTAGGACCTACCAGAACTTGCATTCTATTCCCATAGGCTTCAAAACCTAGAGTCATCTCCAAACCATGATGAAGTCTCTGAGTAGCACTTGAGTGGGGGACACCTATTGTTCCTCTCCATTTAATGACTTGCTTATGAATTATTAAAGATATAAATGCAGATGGGGATTGAAACCAGAATTTCATTGATAGAGGGAGCCTCTTCTACCCATGCAAGCTTGCTCCATTTTTGCAACGTATATGTAGTCTTCTAGAGTTGCTTAGGACACAGTGGCTTAAGGGACTTGTTCAGAGTTATCCAGTTGGTATGTGTCAAAAGCAAGTGTTGAACCCAGGTCTTTCTGGCTCTGAGACCAGCTTTCTATCCATGACACTATGCTACCTTATGAATATTTGTCAGATGTTGAAAAGGATCCATCCACTAAAGTCTTAGGCTGAGATCAGTCTTAGGCTGAGATCTCATAATGGCATGGAGGTAATCTGGGCATTTGAGGGTCTTTTCTCAATAAAGGGTGATTCCTTCTTCTGGGGCCTCTCTCCAGCATTTAACACTATTGAGCACCCTCTCCTTCTACATACTCTTCATTCTCTAGGTTTTTGTGACATTACTCTCTATCTTCCCACTTCTTAGTCTTCTTTGCTGGATCTTCCTCTGAAGTCATGTCTACTGACCACGAGAAGACTGTGTTCTATGTCCTCTTCTCCTTTTACACTGTTCTGCTTAGTGATCTCTTCTCTCCTCATGGGTTCAACATCAGCCCTGGGTAGATGATTTTCAGATCCATATATCCAGTCCTAACCTTTCTCCCAAGCATTAGTCCAAATTCTTCTTGAGTATCTTGAGCTGGTTGTCCTACAGACATCTCAACTCAACATGTCCAAAGCAAGAACTCATTATTAATCTCATCAAAACCTCATTTCTTCCCTATTTCCTATTCCTGTCAATGATATCACTATTCTCCCATTACTTCAGAGTCATTCTCAGCAACTTGGTTACACTCACTCCACCACCCCTCACCAGATCTATTGCCGATTTTTCTCATCTCAATCTTCACAATACCTCTCATATAAGCCTCCTTCTCTACATTCACATTGCTGCCACCTTGACTCAAACCCCCATCATCTTTTTCCTAGAATACTGCAAAAGTGTGGTTGGCTCCTCTGTCTCACACAAGATCACTCCCTTACTCAGCAAATTCCAGTGGCATCCTATTATCTCCAAGATCAAATCTGAAATCCTTTGTTTGGCATGTAACATCTCTGTCAACCTATGCCCTCCCTAGTTTTCCAGTCTCCTAACACTTACTCCCACAAACTCTGCAGTCCAGCAGCACTGGCCTTCATGCTGTTTCTTGAGCACAGCACTCCATCTTTGTACCATTTGTACTGAATGTTCCCCATGCCTAAAATGCTCTCTTTTGTAGCTACTGTGGTTTTTCCTTCAAGACTCAACTTATATTCCCTCTTATTTAAGAGGCCTTTCTAGGCACCCCCCCTCCACCAAATGCTAGTGCCTCACTTATGGGTTTACTTTCCATTTACATTGCATGTACTCTGTATGTAAAATTTTGTGCATATTACTTACCCCCTCCCCCATTAGAATATGAGCTCCTTGTAGGTGGGGACTGTTTTTGTTTGTTTGTTCTGCCTGTCTTTGAATCTCCAGGGCCTGACACTAATTAATAAGCGCTTAATAAGTATTGTGGCAAAGTTATAGCAGCTTTAAAAATAATCAATCAATAAGCCTTTATTAAATGTCTATCTAATACTTGGGACATAAAATCAAAAATGAAAGAAGGAAGGATTGAATGACTGACTGTGGCTATAGTCCAAGGTTCGTCCTAAGTTAAGATCAGTGAATTCAACTAAGTGACTAGGCTATCTACCACATAGTTTTATCAACGAGATAAAATGCTAGAACAGTGTCTGACACATAGTAGGTGCCATATAAATGCTTATCTCCTTTTCCCTACCATGTGTTTTTTTTTGGCTTTTTTGTTTTTGGAGGAGCATGGCAACATGAAGGGCTAAGATTTGCATTGTAGAGGAAGCTGAGTCTGGAATGAAAATATACATCTTTTCATAGCATCATAGACTTAGAGTTCTAAGAGATGCCATAGGTCATCCCAGGGATGGGGAACCTGATCTAGTTTAACTCCTTCATTTTACAGATGAGGATACTGAGGCAGAGAGAGGCTAAGTAACTTGCCCAAGGTCACACGTGTAGATGCAGAAGTGGTAGAACCGGTATCTGAACCCAAGAACTCAGACTCCAAAACCAATGATCATCATCGGGCAGGGGTCGGGGGTGGGGGGAAAGGGGGATCAGTTTCTCTGATAATGCATACCAAGCTTTACCTTTTGTTCTCATCATTAATGGCATTTGCAGGTAGAAAGCTAAACGGTATACAACTGGGATGGAAGGTGCATGCTCTCTGGCAGTCCTCAGCAGTTGGGGTGTGTACCGCACCCACATCTCCTCCTTTAAAGAAGGTGTTTTCATAAAACCGAGTCACACACTCTGTAATAGAATCAGAGGAGAATGTTGATCCGGCACGGCTGGCAAGGGATGTGCTCAAGAGTGCCTTCTTATTTACCTCTTCCCCCAACATTATCTCCTGACCCCCATCTCCATTCTTAGGAATCCCTTCCCCCACCAGAGCCCGAATTAAGATACAGCTCTAATTCCCTAGATAGAATGAAGGCATTTAGCAATGAGACAGCACAGACCTTGCAGTCAAAAGACCTGAGTTCAAATGTGGCCTCAGACCCTACCAGCTGGGTGACCTTGGGCAAATCATTTAACCTCTGTTAGCCCCCATAAAATAAGGATGATGATAATACCACCTACCTCCCAGAGTTATTGCAAAGATCAAATGAGATCATATTTGTAAAGCACCTGACACATAACTATTATTATTGTTGTTATTATTATTAGACTCCCACCCATCTGTCCAGACTTCTTTTGTCACACTACCCTCACAATCTCCTGTTTGCAACCAAATTGCCCTAATAATAATTAGCATTTATATAGTGCCTTCTTATACATAGTATGCCATTTGATCCTCATAACAATCCTGGAAGGTTAATGCTATTATTATTCTCATTTTGCAGATGAGGAAACTGAGGCTGACAGGGGTTCAGTGACTTGCCCAGGGTTCTACAGCTAGTAAGTGTCTGAGGGGCAGCTAGGTGGTGAAGCGGATAGAGTGCCCACCCTGGAGTTAGGAAGATTCCTCTTCCTGAGTTCAAATCTAGCCTCAGACACTTGCTAGCTGTGTGACCCTGCACAAGTCACTTAACTCTGCCTCAGTTTCCCCATCTGTAAAATGAGCTGGGGAAGGCAATGCTAAATAAATCACTCCAGTGTCTCTGCCAAGGAAACCCCAAATGGGGTCACAAAGAGTCAACACAATAGAAAGCAAGTGAGCAGCAAGTGTCTGAGGCAGTAATTGAAGGGAAATCTTCCCTTCTCCAGGTTCAACACTCTAATGACTATGCCATGTTCTATGAGCTCATCATTTTGCTCCCCATCTCCATGTCTCTTCACCTTCCCTGGAATGCACCTTCTTATCTTCACCTCAGAATCCTCAGCTTCCTTAAGGCTCTGATGAGGTACCACCTCCAGGGAAAGCCTTATTCGGTCCCCCAAGTTATTAGTGTCCTCAGGGGTGAGCTCGTAAATGTTTAACAACCAGTCCTCCAAAAGAAAAAAATATATATAGACAGTACACACTTTTCAGTTGAATCTGCTTTATTAACATTTTCTCCATTACTTTCTTAAGTCTAGTCAATCACTAAAACAATAAACCAAGTCCTGGTTTGTAGTATTTGTCGATTTCTGAGGTATGAATGCTCACTACAAAAATTTAACAATCAGTCCAGCAGGCTCCAGCTCACCCCTGAGGTTCTCTTTCCTTTCAAATTATCTCTGGTGGATATCTTCCTTGCTGATATCTCTGTTGTATATACCCAGTAAAAATGGTTTTTGCCATTTAATATTAGCAATTACAGTAACAGGTACTTGAACAAATGATTATTGAATTAGATCAAAAGACCCCAAGAAATTTCCCTCCACCTAATCTAACAATTGATGGCAGGTCCCCATATGCTAGGAATCATCTGCTTAACCAAATTTGCATAGAGTACTAGAATGAGTTATGATTTCTCACAGTGGCTGAAGTAACCAAATAAGAGATATGTGTGTGTGTAGGTACATGTGTACGTGTATACATTTATACACACAGGTTGTTGTTGTTGTTTGTCCTTTATTCTCAAAGAAGGCCAGGACATCAGGAAGATGATGCCATGACTTGCAAGTGAATTGGATTTGAGTGAGGGAGGGCTGCGCAAAATCACCAGCCTCACTTTTCCTCTGGAGCCATCTGGGTCCAGCGGCCAGATATATATCAGGACAACTGGAGATGGCCCCAGATGCAGTGGAAGACCTGGTCTTTTAAAGCTAAGGTCTCAGTTTGATTGAAGCGATGCCCATTCAGTGATAAAGACTAGATAAAAAAAAAAGTGAGTCAAAGAATGGCCTCTTTAACCTAGTCCAGAAAAAAAAAATCAAACAGGTAAGGGAAGACCCTCAGGGTTTTTGGCCAAAACAGAAACAATTTTTATTTACATTCACTCTGACTCAACCAGGTCCAAACAATGACCAAGTACACACACACACACACACACACACCCAAAATTTCTTAGGACAAAATTATCTGTGCATAACTCCTAAAGATCCATGGAGAATATATGTCCATTCATCCACCAACATCTCGAAGTGTGCTCATGAAATGACCAAACATGGAGGTAGGGCGGGTAATGGACAGGTGACTTTCAGTCAGTCAATCCACAAGCATTTATTAGGCACAGTGTCAGGCACTGTGCTAGGCACCAGAGATCAAATATAAAGTGTCCTCCTGCCCTTAAGGTGTTTACATCCTACTGGAGAGGCATGTACAAAACATATTCAAAATAAATGCAAAGTATTTTTTTTTGCTGGGTGTTGAGAAGGAGGTTGAAATACTAGCAGCCAGAGTGATCAGGAAAGATCGCGTAAGATCTGAAGTCTGAAGAAAACTAAGCACTCTGAGAAGTGAGGGGTGGCAGGGAGAGTATTACAGGTATGTGAAATAGGTTGGGCAAAGGCATGGAAAGAGGAAATGGAGAATTATGTGTGAGGAACTGCAAAAGGACTGGTTTGGCTTTACCAGTGTGCATGAAGGGGATACATATGGAGTGACTCTGGAAAGGTAAGTTGGAATCAGATTGTAAAGAACTTCAAATGTTTCATAGAAGAGGATGCATTTGATGCTATAGGGAATGGGGAGCCACTGGAATTTATTGAGTAGTGGAATAACACATTGGGTCTAAAGGATGATAGATAAACAATTAAAGTGGCACATTGGAATGTCTGACATGGAGAGAGAGAAAGACAGAGAGACAGAGACAGAACAAGAAACAGAGACAGAGACAGAGACACAGAGAGACAGAGAAACAGAGACAGAGACAGACAGACAGAGATTGAGAATTGAAAGAGGAAGCCCTCGAACACAGATAAGAATTTCACAGAATAAGATGACATAAAGGGGGTATGATTTGAGTAACTGAGAGAGTATCCATGTGGGTGACAACATAGATCCACCAAGGATCTTATTATTTCTTATTCCCTATAAATTGCAAGAGAGACAGATGTTTGTTTGGGGACTACTCGAGTATAGTCAGATTCAAATTGGCACCTTCTAGTAGTAAAAATAAGTACTGATCTTTTCAGAGATGTAATCTAGAAGGGATCTCAAAAGTCATCTAGGCTATTGAATAGGTTCTAGTCCATTTTACAGATGAAGAAACCAAGGCCAAGAGAAGTTTGGTGATTTATCCAAGGTCACACAGGTAGGAAGCATCAGAGGTAAAATTTGAACTTAGACTCCTAAAAATAGGTATAGCTCTGCAAGTATAGTTCTTGTTTTTGTTTTTGAAGCC